TTTTTTTTTTTTTTTTTTTAAGTTTATTTATTTATTTTTGGTACCGGGAATCAAATCCCTGGCCCTGGAAAATGTTTTCACAACAGACCTCCTAAATAAAGAATTTTAAACAACTATTATAAAGATACTCAAAGAACTTAGAGAAAGATGTGGCAAAAGTTAAAAAAATAATGTATGAACAAGAATAAAGTGGAAACATCAATAAAGAAACAGAAAACAAAAAGAAACTGAGAAAAAATTCCAAAACTGAAAAGTACAAAATCTGAAGCAAAAAAATACCCTACAGGGAGCAACAGATTTGAGCTGAAAAAACAATCAGCAAACATAAAGTTAGGACAATGAAAATTATGATGATGAAGAACAAAAAGGAAACACTGAAGAAAAGAAAGCAGAGTCTAAGGGACTGTGGGACCGAACAGACAGAAAGAAGGGACAGGAGGATGTGTAAGAGTCAGGAGGACACAGTCCCAGCAACTCAAAAGGCCGAGTCAGGCCAACCCAGGCAACACAGTGAGACCATAAAAAAGGTCAGGGAATGTAATTCAGTGGTACAGCATTTGCCTAAAATGTACAGGGCCACGAGTTCAAACGCTAGCACTGAAAACAAACACAAAGATCTCAATAAGAAGCAGTGAACTGGGTGAGAGGAGAAGCTGTCACATGTTGTGTGTACACAGAAAGCAGCCCAGTTGCCACAAAGCTCACAACATACCACATGTGAGGCTTTCAACCCTAGTTATTTCTCTATTAGAAATAACACACATACAGGGCAGGGGATTCAGCTCAGTTGTTCCACCACCTGCCTCGCAAGCGCAAGGTCCTGAGTTTGATCCTTGGTATGAAAAGAAAAGACAAGACACGACACAACACGACACACATACAACAGACATTTACAGAGTGAGAAACTAAGCAATTCAATCCCTGATACAGAGTGATGATTCATTCAAAGCCAGAAGTTTAGTGCCAGAACATGGGCTATGACTCAGGTCCGTTTTCCAGACCAATCTTCTTAAAACACGTAATTTTTTTCCCACATATTTAAATAGTAACACCCCAAGCTGGGCTTGGTGGCACACACCTGTAATCCTAGCACTCGGGAGGCTGAGGCAGGAGGATCGCTGTGAGTTCGAGACCAGCCTGGGTTACATAGTGAGTGCTAGGTCAGTTTCAACTACATAGTGAGACCCTGTCTCAAAAAACCAAAAATTAATTAATTAATTAATTAATTAGGTACACCTGTTAGGACTTTGTATCAACAAATAACTTAAATAAATCTCTGTAACAAAAAGCCCTCCCAAAAGAGTGACCACTGTAGTGATGAAATGATTCTGTAAATTAACTGTGTATCAACACAGCAGTTTTAACAGTGTTCAATAATTCTTTCAGGTGACAGCTTGGGAAAACTGAGTGAAAGATATGCAAAACCTCTGCGACAGTACTTCATATGCCTGTATGTGAATCTACAGTTGGCTCAAAATAAATGCAACATCTGGAGAAGTAGCTCAGTGATACAGCCCTTGCCTGACATGCAGGAAGCCCTGGGTTCAATGGACAGGAGGGACGCTTGATGCAGGGGGTTCACAGTTGGAGCCTCGCCTGAGTTACACAGCAAATTTGAGGCCAGCCTGAGATAGACAGTGAATTCAAGGCCGTCCTGAACTACAAAGTGAGACCTGTCTGAAAAAAAATAGTAATTAAAATTAAAACAGCTGCTGGGAAGTCAGACATGGTAGTGTACACATGTAATTACACTTAGGGAGGAGAAGACACAGGATTACAAATTCAAGTCTAGTCCAGGCAACTAGCAAGAACCTATCTCAACATTTAAAAAAAAAAAATGAATAAAAGGAGGTGGCAGAGATACTGCCTAGCATGTGTAGCCCCTAGGTTCACTTTCTACCACTGTAAGACAATTTATACTTTTTTTTTTTGGTACTGGGGACTGGACTCGGGACCTTGCATTTGCAAGGCAGGTGCCAGAACCACTGAGCTAAATCCCCAGCCCTTGTAAGACAATTTATAAAAGAGCTGTTTCAAAAAATTGAAAACAGGGCGCTGCGCCAAAGCCATGTGGGCACAGAAGCCATGTGGATGGGTGTAGTGCAGCTCAGGTTCGCTATGGTGGAGCTGCAGCAGCTCCCGGTGCAAGAGGCAGTGGACTCCATGGTGAAGAGTGTGG